ACAATCTTAGACAACTTTTGAAATTGTATTTGTTATTCAAATTAAGGTTTTTTTTAACAGATACTTAAGAAATATATATTAATTACTAAAAAACAATTGAAAACTTCTCTTCAGGATCAACAATAGTTTAATAACTAATAAATATAGTCTTCGTTTAATTTAGATTTTTATTATTATTATTTTCCCACTAAAGTTGGATAATTTGCATCACTTTAATTAATCTTTTAATAAAAAAAAATAAAAGTGATTTAAGTTGGACAAGTTAATTAAAAAATAAACAATGAAGATAATTTGGAATTAAAAAAAATTTGATTGAGTTGATTGAGAACAATTGTTTTCTTTAGATGGTAAAAGCAGAGTCGTTAGCTTAGCAAGGCCATCAGTTGTTTTCTGGTTAGATTTTTCAGCATTTTTTTTTAAGGTAAATAAAAATACCCTTAGTAAACTAAATTTGGGGGTCAGTTTACGATAAGTGCAAATATAACATTATGCAGGAGAAGAATTTGAAAATTTGATTTGTTTCCATAAATCAAGTAATAATGAAAAATAAGTTATTTTTCATAAAAAAAAAATATTTTTTTTAAATCTACAGGAATTATTATTTGACTTAATAAAATTTCTAACAAAATATAACAAACTGCATACTTATCTCAAAATGACCAATTTTACACTTATCATAAATTGACCAATGGCCACATAATTATTTGAAGGTTGTTGATCAACACTGATTGGCAGAAATGATAAAAAATGAAAAGTAGGCAATCAAATAATTTGCGAACAATCAAAATTTTGCTTTTTTTTTTTTTTTAAATTACTGTTTTTATTGTAAACTAAAGATTTTTATGGTCTTAAAAATGTTTAATTTAAAAATCATAAACATTATAAAACTTGAATGTTAATTTAATAACTTTAAGATGTTTTTTATGTGTTAAAATTCTTTTTATTATGAAGTTTGATTTGCAAAAGTTGGCGATCAGATTTGATCAGCCATGATTAATTTGGGAGTCCTAAGTATCAATTTTTCCAAAAGTCAATCAACGGTTGGTGATCTGCCACTATTTCTAGGACTAAGCACATAATCATCACATTTTAGACATTGCACTTATTACTGTATGTGGTTGTAAGGAAGTAAATATGCTTTTTTTGTTTGGACAAACAAATGCATTATAAACAAACTAAATTGATAAACAAATAATAAAACAGAATTTGTTGTTTTATATTTGTGTGGTTCCAAACTTATGATTTAGATAAGTTACTATGAAGTTGTTTTCTAGTTAAAAAAGAAATAATTAAAGATTCAAAGAAGTTATGTGCCCTTTTATTCCGTGGACCATAGGCAAAAAGAAAAAATACAAAATGCATAAGTTACAATAAGAAGCTATTCTTGTAAAATAATTTTTGCAGCATCGGGTCTTGGGCGAATAGGTGTTAAGTAAAGGTGTCATTTTTGTAGTCCATTTAGCAGCTTTAAAAGAAGGTCCTAAGCGCCGAAAAGGTAGGATATTCCCAATATTGCAAAAAGCTCTGAACAAAATTTATTCCTGACTATTGCCCTGACATGGATTTAAAGCCCCCTTAAATTATCATTTCAAAGAATTATCATATATATTATTATATATTATATATATTCTAGCTTTACTGCATCATACAACCACTAATTTTATTAATTTTAGGCAAGTTAACAAAAATTATTATGAATAAATAAAAAATCACTCTAGGAACAACTGAAGTTCATTAAAACATTTTATTCACGCTTAGTTAGGCCTTTAATTTGTTTCAAAGTTAAAGCAAACTTTCTTTTAACTTATTTGTTATTTTCTTGTTTGTTCAGTACTCATATTTTTATCATTTTTTTAAAATCTAATTTTTGTTTTATTTAATACTGTTTATATTTAATAAAGTTATTCTTTATAAATCAATTTTTTTAAATTATGAAGTGCTATAGAACTATGCAAAGAAAACTCATAATTAGGCTTGCAATATGCTTGCAGAAATATTAAAATTTTGATTTCAAATCCTTTAAATAGTTTGGTAGGTGTAACATTTGGTGTAAAACAAGCAGTTTTTATAGTTCTTCAAATATTTTATTTAAATTTAAACCATTTAAGATGTTTTAAAAATTGTTTGCAATTCCTAATATTTCAAAACAGATTTTAGTAATAAGTAAGCAAATGTACAAATACAGGAATGTTAATTATGATTATGACAACAGGCTTGTTTTAAAGAGAATTTTGGATTGATCTTTTATTCAAACTTTTTTGTCAATTGATGGAACAACTTCGATCCTTAAATTAGCCTCAAAAGTGTTAGTTGCAAAGAGATATCTTGTATTGTTAAATCAACTTTGTTTTACAATAAACCTTTGCAGAGCACATTTTATATCATACAGTTGTCAAAATTTTGAAAGCGTGGAACTTAAATAAAATGTGAAGGTTACATTATGCTTAGAACAGAACTTTAATGCTTTTGAGTGTAAACTGAAATCGGTTTTTCTTGTTTATGAAGCGAGTGTTTTATCACTATACAACACTGCCCCAGGTCTTTGTGTGTGTGTGTGTTTTTTTAATGCTTTTTTTTTAAATATAAAAATCGTTTTAAACTTTTATTATAGAGATCAAGAAGAAGTAGAACAAACTGAGTCCGAAGAGGAAGGTGATGATGAAGGTAAGCAGTTATTCTATAGTTTAATCTAGTTTATCACAGGTTTGATCAAAAGCTACCTCTTACATGACAAGTGTCATAAAAATTTTAATGAAGAATTTAAAATTAAAAGCAGAATGACCAGGACACTTTAAAACAATTTTTAGAACATGGGTTAGAATTCTTTTTAAAGCTAATATAAAAAATAAAATTTAAAGCTTTTGAATTATTTCATCAGGATTTGTCTGAGATCCTGGAAAATTAAATTTATTTTTTATTTTTATTTTAGTTATTAGTATTAATTTTTTATGTAAATTGGAACATTTTTATTTCTTTAAGAGACTACCAACTCATTACATGTTGTGTTCATGTTTAAAAACACGTTTTTTTGAACACGAACACATAATAAATGTATATCAATAGAAACTGAACTTGTTATTTTAGTTGAAGTTCTTCATTTTACTCTGTATCTTTGAGTCTTTAAAATATATGCCACAATTTTCAGGTTTAATATTCATTTCAAGCACGTTAAAATCGTAAGAGTTTTAGTATGTGACGTCATTGTAGAGTATATCTTTTGATATATCAAAGTGTTTTTTTTTCACTTACTATCAAATTGTATTTGAATAATTATTCAACAAATCCCTAAAATATCTTATTTGTGAAATTAAATAACAATTATAATATATATAGTTGTTCTGTTATCTCCTGATGAGGTTATAATAATAGGCTCTATAAATCAGTTTAATGGTTCTGTAAATCAGTTGTACATTCCTTTTAGTGTTTTTGGTTTGCAATTTTGAAACGACATAGGAGCCCTTTAAAACGATATAAACTTTAGGTTGATTATCATATATTAAGGATTGATTAAGTCAACTGCGAGGGTTGTTACTCATGATATAACAATGGTTTTTGATATTGTCTCTCATGCTATTTTGATCAAAAACTCTCTTTTTGTTGTTTCTGGGATTGTTTTTTCCCATCCTTTTTTTTTTCATTCATTTTTAACTGCGCTATTATCTTTGATAATTTTGATTTTTTTTTTTCATTTATTTTTAACTGAAATATTAGTACTATACTATAAGTTTTTATTCTTGTCCCCTTGTTACTTATTTATATATAGGTCATCCTAAGAATTTAACTTCCAAAGTGTTAAGTAAGCATTTGCAAATGTTTCTTGGCATTATTGACAAACAAATAAATATATCTTTGCATCTGGGTTTATATATATTAAATATTAGTAAAATCTTTATTTCTATTTAGAGGTTGATGAAGATGACGATGAAGGTTTGTTTATAATTTCATCCATTCGTTTTGCCATTTTTTTTTTTATTTTTTATTTTTTTATTTTACTTATTTTACCTAGATTTGGATGAACTTGATGAAATACAAGGTGATTCATCCAGCTCATCTAACAAATTCCGGTCAGCCGGTGTTGAGAAAGAAGAAGCAGATGATGAAGATGATGTTGAAGAAAAAGATGAATCTAACCTTGATGGTGGTGCATATGAAGAAGATGAAGAGGGAGATAGTGACGAAGAGGATGAGCAAAATCCAATACCAGGTAGTTATGTCAAGTACTCAAAACTTTCTAGTACAATAATATTTAGTTATTTTTCTTATTTTGTTTCATTTTTCTAAAAATTTAGGCGATAATGATGAAGAAGAGGAAGACGAACTTGACGACGAGGAAGAAGATAATGAACCTGGACTTGATTATCTTAACAAAGATGAATTTAGTGTAAATTTATTTACATTGGTTTAATAATTTTAGCAAATCAATAAGTTTCTTTTTAAATGTGCTTAAATTGTTTACACGTTTGCTAAAGTATAAATTATTGATTTAGCATGACTTAAATTATTTAGGATGAAGAAGAGGATGGAGATTTTGCTCCTGGTGAAGGAGAAGATGATGATGAAGAAGAAGAAGAGGAAATAGACGAGGAAGCTTCTGAAGAACAAGTAGCCCGCGGAACTAAAAGAAAACATGAAGGTGATGACGAGGAGTAGAGTAATAAAATATCATTGAAAAATGATTACAGAGTGAGCTGTCATTAATGGTCTGCCATTGCCTGCCAAACAAATTTCCTAAATTAAATAACGGTGAAGTTCTAAATATATATAGTAGAGAGTTCACTTATTCTTTAATTTTATGGAAGTTTGTTTCTTACTTTTTTTTTTTTTTCTAAACTGTTTCATTTTGTTATATAAATAACAGAGGGAGTTAGCTCTCATATATGGATATATATAGGTAGCCCAAAATGATGTTGCGATAATTGAACATTTGTAAATATTTTTAAGTGAAGTGGCCTCACTTTTCAAGTGAAGTGGTTCTAGTAAATATATTTAATTATATATGACTAATTTGTTATTTATGCGTGATACAATTTAATTGTTTACAGGTATTATGTAATAATTTTTACATTTGTCTTGATATCCGGATTTTTAAGTCATTTTAATTGAATCTTTAGTCAATCATCTTTAAGTTTATTGTGCCATAAGTATTATTAAGCATTTAACCGATAATGATCTAGATTAAAGCCACAAGTTCAGGTTTAGGCTTTATGCACTTTTTTATAATATCAAGTTCGGTCTTAATTTTGATGAGTTTCTATTTTTCGACGATTAAGTTGCGATTTTTTTAAATTTTTTTATCGATTAATTTTTTTTAATATTTTCTGAACTTTTCTTATAGAAAAAATGTGAACAAATTTACAAAGCAAAATAAAATATGGGTTAAAATCAGTACAACTAAATAGAATAAATTATGCATGAACCACATTCAGCAGCACAATATGATCTACCAATGCTTGGAAATTGATGCCTTCAGAATAGTCTGTTGCTGTCCATGATTCACGACTAGGCAAACACCTCTTTTTTGCCTCACGTACACCATTGTATTTTGGATATAAATAACTTTTTTTGCTTTTTGCTTTATTTTTTAAGCACTGATATTGAGATTTGCTCATCTCTAACAAAAGAGCCAACGCTTCTTCAGATGTATTATCAGAATGATCTAGTTCAGCATATTTATTATCAACCAACTTTATTGCTATCTGATGTGCATGCTATATTTTTTCTACCTTCTTTCCACATGTGTGTGCCATTAATAAACAGCTCACAAGAATTTAAAGCTGACAAAGTTGCAACTTTTCTTTGTTTTTTAAGATGAATCTTCAAATAGTAATGTCTACCGAGTTGTTTATTTTTACTCTCCTTCATTAATATGGTATTAAAATCATTTTCAAGCCACACATGCCTCCAACCACTTTTTAGCGATACATCGTTGGATTCGTTACAAAGAGTAGATTTAGGTTTGATATGTCACCAAAATCATAAAATTCCTTTTAGCAAAATATTAACGTGGCCAAAAGAGCCCAATTCCGATTTTTTTTCCCCAAGTTCATGGAATTTTTTTATTTCTAATAAATTTATATAACAAATATATTAATTTTTTAAGAATTATAGCCATTTAAGGTGTGAAAATGAGCCATAAATAGAATATATCGTTTGGATATGACTGTCTTGAATATATCATTTGTGAAATGCAAACCCATGGACATCACATATATATATAAAAACAAATTAACTAATGTTTTATATTATTAGGATTCTGTTTAATTATAAATTAACATACTTTTGTGACATTTTTCAGGACTTTCAGGAGCATTCGGAACTAAAGCTAGTATAAAATAGTAGCTTTTACAGAACCTTCTTTATATTTTGAATTCTGAGGTTTTTTATATGTACTCGTTGTATATTTGGCTTCATGATTGTTTTTCTTAATTCTAAACCTTCGCTCTCACAATCTAACAGTAGGTTCAAACAGATATAGAATAAGAAATTTTTTGTTTTTATAAAATGTTGTACCATTTTTTGTTTTGTTTTGACTAAATCATAATTCTCATAAACATATTTAGAATGAAATTATTTACCTTCAGAAAGCCTCTTCCTCTATCAATACCAAGTTTGACTGTTTGATTGCTAAACTTCTCTTCTTTAATCACATTAAGCAACTTTACAAACATATTTAGAATGAAATTATTTACTATATATTATAAATATTGGCGCACTTAATAATAGGGACATTTTCCTTCACTTTTAAATTTCCTTTTTTTAAATCATATTCTTGATAATCAATTATAAATAAATCTTCAAGTGCACCATCAATTACGGAAGTGCTTTTTGTAGGTTTTGCAAGTTTTCCCTTTAATTGATTTTCTATTTAAAATAATTTTTTTTAATTAACCCCCATTTTTAAATATAGACAATAAATAACAACATTTGACATAAAATGATTATCGATATCATAAATGTAGAAAATTAAAAAAAAAAAAAAAAAATTGGTCAACGGTTTCTGCAGTAACCGTAAAAAACCCCCAAAATAAGCAGAAAATAAGATTTGCGCTGGCCAAGTTTTAGCAAAAACTAATAAAAAAGGCTGAACAAAACTTTGGAAACACAATTAGAATAGGTTTATGAGTGTTTTAAACGAAACAGATTTTTTTTTAAAAGTTTTGGGCCTGAAGACTTGTGATCTAAAGTTAACAATAGAAAAAAGTGCATTTTTTGAAAAATTAAATTAGCTATACTGTTTTGTTCATAAGTATTTCAAAATTCTGTTCCGTTTAAAACACAGTTTTTATAAAAAGGAAAATATGTTGAAAATTTCAGATAAAACACTTAAGCGGTTCTCTTGGAATTTTGGCCGGCATATTGAAAAACCTCGAACTGAGAAAACGCATAAAAATTGAAAATAAACAATAAAAGGTCTACAAATATACGTAACATTATATATTGGACTATATTTAATATTAAAAACCTCCTCCTTCATATGTTTTACTTTCTTTTTCAGAGGTTTTGTCACTTTTCTTCAGTTTTTTAGCCCTTAACTTTTGACGATGTAACTTGTTATGGGAGTTTAGTTTATAGATCGACGATTTAATGCGTGTTTTATTTATGTCGATAGAACCGTTTAGTGTATAAAAACCTGGAACCATGTTCAGTTTTTCATATATTAGAATTAAAGACTTCATCCCAATGTTAAAATTGGCAACAGCATCATAAACACCAAACTTCAGCAAAGTCAGCGAGACATATTTCGTTTTCGGTATGCGATCCCAAATTTTCCCATGGAAAGACTCATTTGCATTTTGCGTTTTACCGTGCAGACATTTTTTAAGCTCATCTTCTTTTGTGAGCTCTTCAAACACAGGTCTAATCTTGTATACAACCTCTAAAGGTAGACCAGGTCCTGGCTTGTAGGTGTTAGTGCTATTTGCTTTGTCTCTGTTAAACTTACACCAACTGCTTACACCTATTGGACAATGTGGATAGTGCCAATTATTTGCTTTTGATGATGCAACATGAAAAAGAGTAGCAAGCGCTGCTGATTTCATGGCAATTAAATTACCAGTATTCTGTCTAATTGCCACACCAAAGAAATTTTGCAATCGATCAATTGTTGCATCTGTCAATCTACCACGACCGCCCAGTCCCCTAACTTTTTTTTTCAAATTCCGGAGTCTGGTTCCAACACGCTTCTGATAGTGTCCAACACATTCTAATTTATTTACTTTAATATTAGGATAAACATCCTTGACACTATTGTAACTTTTGCTATCTCCATCACCTAAAAAGTTAATGTACTGCAACTTATGCTTTTTAATCGATCGCTGGAAAATACGACTGACCCCTTCGCACTCCATTCCACCTGCAGAACCTACATAATTCATTTTACAAATGTGGGAATTTCTCCACTCGGCGTATGCATTAGGATTTTTTTCAGAAAGTTTTTGATTTAAGGAGCACCCTCTGCATACTCGACTCATCACCTCAACATGTAAAACTTTCCCACTGTCCATTGAAAGTGCTGCAAATACACCATTCAATGATGAAAATCCCCTACGTTGCCACGTGCCATCACATGATACACCAACATCAAGAATCTCATTATTGTCTTGACACTGTAGTCTTAAATCAGATACAGCATCAGCCATTGTTTCGTGTGCAACTTCCTCTATAATATTAGTAATTTTTAAAACAAGTTTGTCATAGTTTTTTGGCGTCATTGGTTTTGGCATGTTCATGAGGGTTGTAAACCTTTCAATTCCGGAATGTCCTAATCCAAGAGTCCTCATTGTATATACTGTTCGATTGTTTATATCAAAGTTTCCTTTATTATTAACTAACTTAGAAGTGTAAAAGTTATTTTGATATTTACACTTTAAACAAATAATAGAAAGTTCACATGCAAGTCCTTGCTTTTTGCTTTTGTTTTCAATGATTGCTAAAGTCTTTTGGAAACAAGTCGGACAGCTCAAAACGCTAATAACATCAGACAAAATTGAACAATCAATAATTCTATATCCTGTCAGAACTTTGTTTTTAGTATTGGTATATTTTTGTGGAGATGAGCTAATGACTGCTTCAACTTTGCGAAGAGAAGAGCTTGGCGTATCGAAGATATCAGTTTGACTATTTACAGGTGATTCGATATTTACACTTAAAAAAGGAAAATTTACATTATTTACACTCACACTGCTACTTATCACTTTTCTATTAAAAATCTTCTTTCTTTTGCCTGCTCGCTTAGTTCTAACTTTAATTCGATCAGCCTTAACCATGTCTGAAAACTAAAAAATTTAAAATTTCTGGGACAAAAAATAAGCTTCAAAACAACAGAACGAACTTTGTCTTCATATACCAAAAATAAAGTGCTAACAAGTCTAACAAGAAGCCAAAAATGCTTTTAACTTGTGAAATCAATACGTTGTATGGTATACAAGTGATTTTTTTAGGGGTAAATAATTTTCTCTTTTTTGTACCTAACTCTCAAAAACAAAAAGTTTTGGTATTTAGAGATATTTTTAGGTAAAACAATTAACATTTCTGAAACCCCCATATATTTAATTGTTTAAATCAGTTTTTTTTTTTTTTTTTGATTTTTTAAAAATTTCTGGGGGAGTATACCCCTTAATAAGAGTAAGAAATACTTCAAAAAATTGTTCCTACCTGAGTTCTGTTGCTAGTTGTATCAGTTTTTTGTTGGACAACGCAAATCTTGATTGAACCATTAATAAATCAATCAAAGTGATCTTGGTTTATTTGTTAAGGGTCCCACTGATATTTGTAAAGGTTTTGCTCCTGTAGCAAGTCTAATTCTTTTTGATCCTTGTTCATTTTTTTTTTTTTTTTTTTTTTTTTTTTTTTTTTTTTTTTTTTTTTTTGAGATAATTTATGAAACAATCTGATCCTTAATTTAGCTGGGATTTGAAGTTTTTCTAATACTTTTACAGCTAACGTTTTATTTCCACATTTATGCTGCTTTCCATTTCCGATGTTTTAAAGACAAGATTTA